CCGAGTCATCATTGTAGAATGTCAAACAAGGTACGGTAGGTATCTATCCTTCTATAACACGATACTCCGAGAACACGGTTTCGATACAACACAATACGAATCAACCGTGTTATAGAAGAATTGACTGTACTCTATTTTGATTATAATTATATTATTTTATAAAATATGTGTGATTATTAAATATAAGTAGACTATCTTCGTCTCAAGTTTGTTTATTACGATTTTAATTCTAATTAAGTAATATTTAATTAATATCAACTTTAAAAAATCAATATACATTATAATTACATTTAAGCTATAAATCATTTTGATAATAATATTAATATAATAGTAATTGCCATGATTAATACATGTATTATTAAACAAGATAATACACAAACAGAATTACACAAAGAAAATGAGAACTGCATGAAGAAAATGAATATCTTCATTTCTGTATTCGTTCAATGATTTATTCCGCGTTCAAGTACAGAAAAGGACATTCGAGGAAAACAATGATGCCGCTTTACAGGAAAGTGCAGCAGCTCGGAAGAACGCGGAAGAGGATTCGATGCTCGAAGAAGAGAGTTCAGATTAGCCTGACGAAGGGAGAGCTTGAGGAGTGTGAAGAAGAAGAAGAATAAGAGAAGCGAAAAGTAACCGCGGAGTGCGAGCACGTGCACGTGCATACAAGTATGCGTGAGAAAAGCTCACAGTTGGAAATCTAACGTATTGGTGAAGAGATGGAAAGGCAACGCCTGGCCAGAATGACGGATGAAAGGGAATACCAACGTTGGCGTCTCGTGGCGATCGGAGATTAATCTTCATGATCATCCGTTCGGCTGTTCGACCGAAGTGGCAGCAGCGTACGAGCTGCCCGTTTTATCTCTATCTAGCAATCAACGGATCGTTAAATAATTTAACTCTCTTCCGAAAGTTGGCTGCTCTACAAATATGCTATTTTTCGACGATCTCGTATTTTCGTTAATCTACGTGTAAGTGTTATGTGTAAATGTTAATCGCGTTCGTTCGGTCATACACGAGGTATTTCAAATATTTATTGAGAGACCGGAGTTTAAGGTCTGTGACCCTTATGCATGAGGTGTGAAAAAGACCTTTCAAGAGAAGTTGCTTCAACGCTTATACGTTTGTGGATCACCATGTTTCGCGTATTCTTGCTATGTAGTAGATAAGTCTCTGACTTTGTATATCTCGTATGTTAGATTTATACAAATATTACAAATATTACGAATATAATATTTCTACTCATATATATAGGTAAATGATATTATATTTTACATAGATAATGTATAAGACAAAGGAAATCTTAAAAAAAAAAAAAAAAATGAGATGACTACCAAAAGATACATAAGACAAGTTAAAATTATCTGAAAGATCCTCCAATTTTGTGACTCATAATACATATGAGATAATTTAAGTGTTGTTTATAACCATTTCTTATAATGACTGTGAACTTTGTTACAAAGAACGAAACAAAGTGTACTCTCTATTCTCATAATTTTCAATACACGAAATCTAATACTTGCGTGGGTCTTAACAAGAATTACATTTATCATTCTAACATGATGTAATTAATTCTTCCTACCCAAGACAGACCTTATTATCCATCATGTATGAAACTGATGAAATCTATTCGTTTTCAAATCTAAGATAAAGAAAATTAATTGATAAAGATCTGAACTTTAATTTCACGCGATGGTGCTTCTCAGCTTGCACTTCGCACTGTGTTGTAATTTACACAATGTATATGTAACGTATATAATTACATAAAAAGAGCTTCAAATCATATATTCAAGATTTGTTTTAAAAATTAAAATAAATAAAAAAATACAAATCCGGAAACATCAATATTTTTTTATCTTGTCTCAAAATACCGTTACTTCGCTCGAAAATTTTATTTGCGGCGCTACACAAAAAGTTTCCAATCGTTAAACCCTCCAGGCAAAATATTCCTTTTTTGGCACTTGTTGCGCCATTAAGGAAACCTTTTGGATAAACATATATCCCACGTAATATTTTTCAAAACTAAGCACGCAAACCCAATTACGTCAATTATTAACGAATCGGTGCACGCTACAAATTATTCTCTTCGGTTCTCTTTTAGCCTGCTTTAATTATTATACATTTTCTTCTCTTGTAAATAGTTTGAGAATTTAACCATTCGTTAATTATTTTCGCAAATTTACAAGTCACGCAAGTATCTTTAACGCGAAAATTAAATTATACCTCTTACTCGCGCAAAAAATAAAATTTATAAGCATATAGAATGTTGAACCAATTAAAAATTATTTCTGTAAATGCATATAGGCAGTTTTTACTGCTTTTAGTATTAGTATAATTTACGGCATTTTCATTTATAATATAAACTATTTGCCAAAATTTGTACGTTCAAAATTCAACGTTTTTGCAACAGGCAGTTGTCTTTTTTCTGGTATCTGAAAAGGTACTTAAAATATAAGCAGCAAACCGGTTGACAACCGGTTTGGTTACTCTAATAAATTAAGAAGAATTTCTATGTATTTTCTACACGTAAGATAAATCTACTATTTTTTATGTTGTGATTAGAAACGTCAATATAAAAGCGTATGAATAATCGCAAGATGATTATTCCTTATTGATTTGAAGCTAAGCCAATTTTTATAGATATTAATGTAGATACTTTCTTGTAATTGTACAATATTTATGTAATTGTACAATAATAAAATTTCGACAAAAATAAAATATTACTTTTTTTGAAACAGAAAATGTCATTAGGTATGTTGCGCATCTTATACTGAAGCAACAAGAAGTATCTATTATTACTACTAGTACTGCGATCGATCTAACCATTTTGCATCATTGTTAGTGAATAGGCTGTGTAAAAAAAAAAGGGTAAAAATCGATTTCTTCAAGCAAGAAAGAATGAATTCGTGGCAATAGTAACCGTTGGAACGACATCATCGATTCCGCGTCGTGTCAACCTTATATAGCACTGGCATTCCCTTACGGCTCATTTAATCCACAAGCCACTGCCAGGAAACGACATTGGCGGGCAGATAGACGTAGAGGAGAAAAAAAAAAGACTAGAACGAAAGCCGCGGAAAAAATATGGATGACCGCGTATCCTGGCAGGCATGTCCTTAAGTTCCATGTGGATCCTGAATGGAAGGAG